CACTGTGGGGGTGATTCGCACGCAGTAGGAGTAAGGTACGTTCCTATACCTCAAATCCAACCTTGTTTTTATTGTAGTCTGTACAGAACTGAATTATTTTTCCTATGTATTGCTTTTAGCTGACAGATTATATCAGAAAAAATAAACAAACTTCTTCATGCCCCTCCTCCTCTCCAATTCAACAACAAATTTTGTCATCCAATATCAGACTTGTTTGTTCAAGAATACTAAGTCATGAAGATAATAACTATATGTATTAGTGCAAACAAGTCTGTTGGATCCTAAATCTTGCTGCTATTATTTCAGAGTATAGAATACCGTAGCAGACCATAAAGTGTAGGATAGAGGATGAGGAGATTCTAGCTTATAGGAGAACTACTCCAGCTCAATGAGCAGCTATTCAAGTATATGCTCTAACAGTGGAGACTATTGTCAGCAATAGTCTAGTGTGTTCGTAATAGTTACTTAAGAGTCCCAATCACATCTCTATCTTCAGTATACTATGTAATATTTAAAGGATATCACAGGCAGGTTTTGCAAGGAGCAGTATGATTTGAAGGTAGATTGGTAGAGGTTCTGTTTCTTACTTTTTCTAAGTGAGGTGTACTGGCGGTAGCCTCTCTATATACAGGAGTATGCCAACTTGTACAAGTGTCATCAAAAAAGTGAGTATACATGTTCAGTCACAACACAACAACAACACCACTACCACTACCCCACATACACTGACAAAATGCCATAAAATAATGATGGAAAGTAGAGAGAGGGCACAAAATTAGAGTAGATTGAGGTCATTCAGCTTCAGGCTGATAGTTATTTATATCACACAATTGCTGACCATATGATAATGTCAGTGTCAACAGTTGGTAAAATCATTCGAAAGTAAAACACTATGAGAAAGGTAAAAAAATAGTACCCATTCAGGACGACCCCACAAAATCAACCCCTATGAGCTCAGAATGCTAAATAGAACAGCCAAGAATAACCCCCAATCATCTTTGGCTGAATTCACGAACAAGTCTAACCTCCAACGCCTTAATTCCAGGCAGCGCGTAATGATC